TGGCCAGAGTTCTCACACTCAGCAGAGACAGGGCCACCGAGAAACCGCCTGGCCCGCTCGGAGGTGGCTTGGAGGTGGCTAATCAGGTCAGGAAGAGGAGTGGGCCTCGGAGGGCAGCCCCAGGGGACCAGCAAGGGGGCTTTGGCAGCCTCATCAGCCAACACCTCTGCAAAAACTCCCTATCCAGCCCGGAGCAGAAGTGGGCTGTCTCCTGAGGCTCCACTCCGGGCCCCTGGGCTGGACATATGGGAAGACCTGTCCTCCCTGGCTAGTCCCAGTTTCCGTGCATGGCAACTGGCTGGCCAGGCCATCTTGAGCCACTTGTCCCCTGACAGGCAGGTTTCCTGGTCTCCCCACCCGCAGCAGCCCTGGAGGCCCCTTCCTGGGCACTAGCACTCCCAAGAGCACCTCTGAAAGCTGGTGGACTGGACGGTCCCAGCTCCTGGCAGCCTTTCAGGGAGCTTTGCTTGCCCGTGGCTGTGAGGGGTCGGGGGTCTACTGACGGTTGGAGAACTGGCATTTGTGGGTTGGCCCCTCTGTTCCCCCCGCCAGAGGCTGCCCTCCAGGAGGGGTGACCAGCACACCCCGGGCGGTGGGAACCATAGCACGGGCTTTCTTTTCTGTCTCCTTTCTCAGCCAGGAGGACTGGAGTTTTCTGTTCGGCCAAGGCTTGAAGTTGGTGAGGGGACTCAGGCCTGTGGATGGCAGTGACTGCTTCTGTCACTCTTGATCTGAGACTCCACAAGGAAGAGGTGCCTTTGTCCCCAAATCTGGAGCAGGCTTGAGAAGCCCTGGGGAGGCTGGGAAGTGAGCCTACTAGCACTCCAGGCAGGACAGACAGACCCCTGAGAGCGGGGGCCATGCCGAGGGCCAGTGCCACCTCTCCACCTGCCGGTGTCTTGGGTTTTACAGCCTGGCCAGCAAACCTGCAAAAGCCAGCGAGAAGGGTGTCCTGCCCACAGGGCCCCCTCTCCTGCCACAGGTCCTGTCCCTGAGCACAGGCTGGATCCCTGGGAGCTCTGGCAGCAATGTTTCCGAATTCCTGGGTTCTCAGGAGAAGCTGCAGTCTGTGGTGGCCGCTGCTGACCCAGCGTGGCCATCCCCCTCGGCCTTGCTCAGTGAATGGCATTGTTGTGCAATGTGGGTGGGCCTGGGTTCAAATCCCAGCCCTGTCCATGGCACCAGGTCCAGCGGGTAGCCATTCGCTTCACCAGCGGGTGATGGGACTGGCCTCTCCCTGGCTTACGGGACAGACAGAGTGCACCTACAGAGGCCGGGCCCTGCCCCGAGCTCTCCCCACCCTGCACTCCTTGGTGCCCGCAGCAATGCCAGGAGGCAGGCCCATCGCAGACGAGGAGGCTGAGGCTCACAGGGGCGAAGGGCAGGCCAGGGTCCCTGAGCTGGGACGGTGGAGCCTCTGCCGGGCTTACACTTCATGGCAGGTGTTCAGAACTTGGGGTGGCCTGAGCTGCTAATTTTTGGCCAGCAGCTGCAGACAACATCTGATTGCTTATCACAACCCCCCTGCCGATACACACAGGGACACATGTCACACTATGCACAGAAGCATGTGAACCCCGAAGAGGGAGCTGGAGCCTAGAAGCCCACTGCCTCCCCTGGGGGCAGGGAGCCTCAGTGGACCCCAGGTGGAGCGCTGAGGCACAAGGCCACTGTGCTCTGGGGTGACTCAGTGCTGTGGTCAGGGGCTTAAAATTTGGAGGAGGCAGAAGCAGCAGCTGGCCCAGCCATCCCGGGCAGGGCAGACGGACGGCTGTCCGGAGGCGGGAGCTGTGTGGCATTCCAGGCATTGCAGCACCACATAAAACCAGGGCCCACTCCCCCGGCTGACGGGGGGCGAGGAAGAGGGCGTGGGCAGGTTGGCCCCTCACTCCCCACTTGGTGGCCCTGGGACTGGCCTCTGCTGGGTCCCACTGGGACTGGTGCCATCTGCTGGGCAGAGGAGGGATACCACCTGGACGCCCTGGGGTCTGGGAGGGGAGGCCAAGCAGTTCTAAGCCCCTGCTCTGCGCTAGGGGCTTGGGGGCACAGAGATGGGCAAGACGGCTCTGGCCCTTGAAGGCTCACAGGACAGGGAAGAGAAGTGCTGGAACTGGGAGCCAAGCTTGGCTGGGTGACCCTGAGCGAGTCCCTGCTGCTCTCGGGGCCTCTGTCTCGTCCCCTGTAAAGTGGGGAGAGCGCTGGCATCCAGCCCACCGGCTGCTGGAGGGACCCTACGGGACCGAGTATGGAGAGCCTTGGCACACCGCCAGCGCCGAGCAATGTCCATGGCTTGAGTGGTTTTCAAGACACGCAGAGTGCCGTGGGGGTTCTCGAAGGGGGAGACCGCACCCAGGGGGTCAGGAGAGGCTGAGGCTACCCTGTGAACAGGGCGGGCGTCCTGGCAGAAGGCGAGCAGAGGCCCAGAGTCTGGAGGGCGTGAGGCTGTGGGGTCTGGTCTGAGCAGGTGTGGGGGGGAAGGAGTCTTGACTGGCAGGCTGGAAGGTGGGGGCCCCGGGAAGGCGTCGAGGGCAGGAAGGACCAGGGGTGCCAGCTCACGTCTCTGCTGGCTCAGAGCTTGCCCAGGGTGCGTCGGTTCCAGCCTGACCAGTCCTTCCCCCCATGCCTCCGGGGCAGTGACACCCCCAAAGCAACCGGCCTGCCTCCCCCACTCCCAGCTCCCAGGCCAATCCAGGGAGAACTGAGGGTCATTTCAGTCCTGTTCAGAGCTGGACGCCCTCTCCAGAGCCAGCTGGTCTGTGTCCAGGCAGCCAGGGCTCGGATGGGAGCCACACACAGGCCACCCCCCACCGCCGTTCTGGGCTCCACCGTCCCTCGGAAGGCAGCACACGGCCAGCCTTTCTGCAGGGGCTCCTTGGGCTGCCCCAGGCCCAGCCACCTGTCTCCCCCCTCCGGGACGGTCCCTCCTCAGCCCCCTCCCTCCTTAATCGCCACAACACATGTGCAGCTCCCCCTCCCCTTTCTCTTTTCCCTTCCCCGAGCTTACAGCCCTGGCCCTGGAGTTTACAGCTGCAAAAAAAGACACACACACTCATGCACAAAACCAACTGTGGAATGTTTTCCTGCTTCTGAGCGGGTTTATGGCTCCAGGGAGCTCTCTCTGCCGCCGCCCTTTCAGCACCTGACATCTAATTGTATTTTCCTCACCACCATTTCTCACTCCTACTGGAGCTGGGGCAGGCAGGGGACTGGGGGCTGGGCCTGAGCAGGAGGGAGCCGAGGGCCGAGGTGAGGAGCACGGACGGACGGACGGACGGTGGGTGTCCAGCAGGACGGCCCGCAGGGATCACATGCCTCCCACCGGAGCCGCACACACGGCAGGGCCTGGTTTTTCCATTCTCAGGGGGAACTAGGCTCCTCCAAGGCCAGACTGAAATGTGTGACAGCCCTGCCTCCCCGGCCTCTCATTCATTTTTGTAACAAAGTCATTCATTCAGCCAGTTTGTTGAACACACACAATGTGCCAGGCTTAGGTGTCGGGGGGCTAGGGCAGGCCCTGCCCTAGTGCTTTCCTGCAGGGACGGTAGAGGCGGCAGCTGAGAGTGGGGCTGGGGGACAGACGTAGGCATAGATGGCCTGGTGGTCACTGTGAGCGCCTTGGAAGGGTTGTAAGCAGAAGGATGACACGACCAGGTGTATCAAGTCACATATTTCACTGCAAAGAGCAGAAATGGGTTCCAGCCAAGTTAAGGCAAAAAAGGGGTTTCTAGAAAGGTATGAGGGAGCTTCCAGATAAAAGGACAGAGGCAGCCGGACCTCGCAAAGCAGAGAAAGACCAGGCCGCCCCGTGGGGAGGGGCCAGCGCTGAGATGCCTCAGCCCGTGGGTCCCCACTTCTGCCGTCCCTGTTCCCAGGAGAACAAAAGTGTGGGACGTCCCTACAATGGAACGTCGTCATCCACGCAGCAGATGGGGAACCAGCCACAGGTGCGGCGCAGACCAACCTCACAGAAGCCAGACCCAGAAGAGTGCCCACCGCGTGAACCACGGGCATGCACCTCCAGAACAGGCACGGTCGGGGGTGCCGGGGGATTCACGGGAACGGACAGGAGGGAGCGTCCTGCGGTGACGGTTCCACAGGTGTACGCAGGTGTCAAAACTCATCAGCCTCTACGTTTCAAATCTGCGCATTTTGTCTCTGTGAATTATACCATGATGAAAACATAAAGTGGACATAAAAGGTGCTCTTTTGCTGACAATCAATCAACCAACCAATCCAGGGAAAGAGTCTGTCTGGGTAGCTCAGCAACACGCCCCTTCCTCCTTGGTCAGGGGATAAGGGGGGACCCTGCTAGACAGTTCCCCCAAGACCTCTTACAACAAGGGAAGGTAGTTTCCGGAAGGCCAGCCAAGGAGCTGTCTTCAGAGGAAGAGGGAAGGAAAGCTGGGAGGGAAGCCTGAGCCGTGGGCCTAGGACACAACAGAGAGGGTGTGGGTCTGTTTGTTCGAGGTGTGGGACACAGTAACCCAGCAGGAAGCACTTCAGTTTCTGGCCGCCCAGGAAACCTGGGTGGGGCAAGAGCAGGCGGGCAGCAAGGAGCACGAGTGTGGCTGGTACAGCAGGACACTTCTCTACAAGGTCCTTGCAGTGATCAGCACCGGCTAGAGCTCGGGTCCCTTGCCACCATGGACACGTGACCCAAGCAGCAGCGTCCACTAGCCTTCCCATTCTGGAGAGAGGGCCAGGATGGCGAATGGCTGGAAGGTGGGTGCTGTTCTCACGGGGGCTGCTCCCCAAGGTTGCCACCTTGGAGACAGTAAGTATGGGCCTGAATCAACTCCTCCGGCCTCTCCAAGAAAAACCAGAGCCAAGTGCTGCTCACGTGGTGCCCCAGCTGTCGGCCTCTCCATGTGTTGTTGGACACGTGCGCTCCCATCCCTGCCTCCGCTCAGGGCATTTAAACCCTCCTCGTGGGTGCCCCCCGCAGCTGCCGCGCAGCCCCTGCTGAGAGGGAGCGGGACTTCTCCCTTTGTGTCCCCTGCCCATGGGGACGCTCGTGGCCAAACTGCTCCTGCCCACCCTCAGCAGCCTGGCCTTCCTCCCCACTGTCAGCATCGCTGCCAAGAGGCGCTTCCACATGGAGGCCATGGTCTACCTCTTCACCATGTTCTTTGTGGCGGTAAGTCTGGGGAGAAAAGCGATTTGCAAGGGAAAGAAAGCGCCCAGGGTGGGGGCCGGAGACCCCTTCCCTCTCTGGACCTCACCGTTCCCATCTGTGCCAGGAAGCTGTGCTGGGATTACTGTGACGCGTGGGTGAGACCAAGCCCTCGATGGACCCGTGTCCGTCGGTTGAGGGCAACCCTTCCAGGGTGCCAGCCCCCCAAGGCTGCTGCCCACGTCTCTTCCAGCTGTGCCCATAAGGCTGCTGAGCAGGTCTGGGAAGGGGTCGTAGGGTGTAGGGGACGTGAAGGCCCCAGAGAGTCCAGCTCCGGGACTCTGGAGCTGCCACAGCCCAGGAGGCTGCGCACGGCCATTCACTGCCTGTCCCTCTCGGGGGCCTCTCTGTCTCTCTCTCTCTGTCTCTCTCTCTCTCAGTCCTTCTTTCTCTATTTATATGTCTGGCCGACTGTCTCTCATGCTCCGTGGCACACTCTCTGTTTCTGGGTAACTGTCATGGGCGACTTTAACCATCTTTTAGTGGAGCACCTGGCACCCTGTCTGGCTTTGTTTTGAGGTTCCTGCTCCTGGGTCCTGTCTCTCCCCACCCCCCACCCGCCTTAGGGCTCCTTCCCGTCTGTGTCTCTATTACTGGTTTTCTGCGTCTGGCTCTCTCCTGCCTCTCCTTCTCTCTGTCTATGTCTGGTTCTCTGTTCTCTCCTGCCTCTCCTTCTCTCTGTCTACGTCTGGTTCTCTCCTGCCTCTCCTTCTCTCTGTCTACGTCTGGTTCTCTCCTGCCTCTCCTTCTCTCTGTCTACGTCTGGTTCTCTCCTGCCTCTCCTTCTCTCTGTCTACGTCTGGTTCTCTCCTGCCTCTCCTTCTCTCTGTCTACGTCTGGTTCTCTCCTGCCTCTCCTTCTCTCTGTCTACGTCTGGTTCTCTCCTGCCTCTCCTTCTCTCTGTCTACGTCTGGTTCTCTCCTGCCTCTCCTTCTCTCTGTCTACGTCTGGTTCTCTCCTGCCTCTCCTTCTCTCTGTCTACGTCTGGTTCTCTCCTGCCTCTCCTTCTCTCTGTCTACGTCTGGTTCTCTCCTGCCTCTCCTTCTCTCTGTCTACGTCTGGTTCTCTCCTGCCTCTCCTTCTCTCTGTCTACGTCTGGTTCTCTCCTGCCTCTCCTTCTCTCTGTCTACGTCTGGTTCTCTCCTGCCTCTCCTTCTCTCTGTCTACGTCTGGTTCTCTCCTGCCTCTCCTTCTCTCTGTCTACGTCTGGTTCTCTCCTGCCTCTCCTTCTCTCTGTCTACGTCTGGCTCTCTCCTGCCTCTCCTTCTCTCTATGTCTGGTTCTCTGTTCTCTCCTGCCTCTCCTTCTCTCTGTCTACGTCTGGCTCTCTCCTGCCTCTCCTTCTCTCTGTCTACGTCTGGCTCTCTCCTGCCTCTCCTTCTCTCTGTCTACGTCTGGCTCTCTCCTGCCTCTCCTTCTCTCTGTCTACGTCTGGCTCTCTCCTGCCTCTCCTTCTCTCTGTCTACGTCTGGCTCTCTCCTGCCTCTCCTTCTCTCTGTCTACGTCTGGCTCTCTCCTGCCTCTCCTTCTCTCTGTCTACGTCTGGCTCTCTCCTGCCTCTCCTTCTCTCTGTCTACGTCTGGCTCTCTCCTGCCTTCTCTGTCTATGTCTGGCTCTCTGTTCTCTCCTGCCTCTCCTTCTCTCTGTCTATGTCTGGTTCTCTGTTCTCTCCTGCCTCTCCTTCTCTCTGTCTACGTCTGGTTCTCTTTGGATTTCTGGAACTACATCCCCATGGCTTTAGTCCTCCTCTATATCTGAACTTCCATGTGTCTCTCTGGCTCTATCTGTCTGTCCCTCTAGCTTGTTTCTTTCCTTCTTTCTAATCTATCTATCTAATAGCCAATCTGTCTAATCAATCACCTACCATCTCTCTCTTTCCGTCCATCCATCCATCTGTCTGTCTGTCCTAGTGCCCTTCTGCCTCCCTGATTTGGGTTCCTCTGAGTCCCCCCCCCCACTGCTGGGCTCCCACGGGTGGCTGCTCTCTGTCCCTCACCCCCCCTTCGTAGACCCATCCTTCACTGACAGCCCAGCTCCCACTGTGGCACGTGCACTGGCACGTTCCGCCAGCCTCCTTCTTGTGGCTGTGCCAGCCCGTGAGCTTTGCACCCCCTAGCCCAGGCCAGTCCCCTCCCCAGCAGCAGAGCCCCTGTCAGCAAAAATGCCAGACGCATGTGTGTGCACACGGGCAGCCTGAAGGTGAGGCCAGTGAGCACGTGTGTGTGTGTCTGCAGATGTGTTCATGTGTAACACCTGCATCCTGAGTTGGTTGAGTCCAATTTTGCCGGCAATGTGAGAAGCCACAGGTGCGCCCGAGCTGGGGGCAGGTGGTTGGCACACATCCTCCTCCTGTTCATGGTGCTCCCATAGGTAACGGTGACCTGGGATATGCTGGATCCTTTCAGGAACCAGATGCCCTGGGGATTCTGATCCCATCTCCGGGTGGGAGAGATGCCAGCCATGACGATGACCCATGAGCCAGCGCCCAGGTCGGGGACTGCGCTAAGCACTCTGTGCATGGCATCTTAGTCTTTTCACGCGCCCATCTGACAGATGAGGAGACTGAGTCCCAGAGAGGCTGTCATTTGTGTTACTGTGAGCACCTGGTGCACCGGAGCTCCCGGCTCACCCAGAGCATTTTGCCGAGCGCCATTTCATTTGCTCCTCCTGGGCCAGTGCCAGGAATCTACCTGACAGATGAAAAGCCTGGGCCTGGGGCACAGACATGACTGCTCTGTGGGTACAGGGCCTTAGGGATGGGGACAGAAGCCACGGTCTTGTCTCTGAGGCCCATGTTAGTGCCAGCCCAGTAAACCTCAGGCACCAGCCAAGACACCCTGCTTGGGCCTGGGCTGGTCCCGCAGCTGCCTCTGCGGGTGGCCCTGCCTGGCCCCACCCAGAGTGGCAGGAGCAGCTGCCCCTGTGACAGCCGTCCTCCAGCCACCAGAGTCCCGCCTTCCACATGCTTCTCCTGCCCCTCACAGGACCCTCCCATGACAGTGTTTCTGTGTCAGACACCATGCAATGCAGTTTGCCTCAGGGGTCTTCTCACTAGCCCCACAGGGCAGGGATCTTGCCCTACTTGACAGAGGAGGCTCCGGGCGGTCAGCACTCGCCTGAGCTCCCACAGCAAGGACCTGCTGGGCCGGACTGCAGAGTCTTTGCTCTCACCCACCAGCCCCCACCAGTGCCCTTGCTGGGCCGGGTCTGCCCCCACAGTGGAGGAGGGAGGGGTCTCCAAGGCCTGGGGGCAGGTGTGTCACTGCTCTGTCCTCACCTCCTTGCACAGGAGGGGCCGCTCTGAAGTTCACCCTCCCCACCTGCAGAACAGAGCTGAGTTCTCACCATCAGGAGGAGCCGAGGGCCTGACATAAGGGGCCCCTCCTGGTCCTGGGGGTGGGTCAGCTCTCTTTCAGACCCCTCCACTTCACCCTCCCCACCTGCAGAACAGAGCTGAGTTCTCACCATCAGGAGGAGCCGAGGGCCTGGCATAAGGGGCCCCTCCTGGTCCTGGGGGTGGGTCAGCTCTCTTTCAGACCCCTCCATACCCTGCCTCCCTGACCCTCATGCACGCAGCAAACACCCTATGCTGGGATCTAGCCTTATAGCCAGGATGAGACAGAGACCATTCCTGCTCCTGATGGGGACGGGGTACTGACATCACCCAGAACATCACAGTGAACAAGTCTTAATCATACTTGGTGATCCACACTACAAAGGAGAGGTGCAGAGACAGCAGATGACGGTGGCCGGGTGGCTGGGAGCTGGAGCTCCCTGCAGGGAGAGCAGAACGTCACAGGGCCTGCATCCTCCCGCCTCTTCTGTTCCACAGAGATTTGAACGCCTTGATCAGGCCCCGCCTGAAGGTTCTCTTTCCCTGAGCTAAACAGTCGTGTCCACCACCTGATCACCCTTCTTGGGCCTCTTGTTTGCCAAGGTCACCTTAAGAAAGGTGCAGTATCCAAAGCTCAATGCAGTGCTCCGGGCAGGTCTGCCCAGATCAGAGAAGCAAGACTGCCTCCTCCCTTGCCACAAAGGGATGCAGTATCTCTGCTAATGCCCCCGGAGCATTAACTTAGGCCGCACGCAACCGCAGTCAGTAGGAGCTCCTTGGATCAGTCAGCCCGACTGAGGGGCCGCTCCCGCTGCAGCGCCCCTGACGCCTCCAGACAGGGGCCGCTTTCCAGGCCGCCTGCTCCCTCCTGCTGAGCTGGGCTTACCAAGAGTCCATTGTGCTGGATCCCAAGCTTGTTTATGCCAGTTGAACTTGTCAAAATAATTATGTCATGTAATTAAATATTACTTAAAATGATGAAATATGAATGCGAAAGGAGAGAGTTGTTGTTTTCTAGAAGTTAGCTGACTGCTTTGAAAATACTCCCTACAGGCATTTTGCTTTTAGAGTTGCTGTTGAGTTAGGTGTCAGGGAGAGGTGGGCGAGCCTCAGATGCTGTCTTCAGCACCTGCTTGGGGGCTCCAAGGTCTTCCTCCACTTTAAAGAAACAGAAACTGAAAGCTGCAGAGGGTCAGTCCTCAAAGTGCAGTCCCCACCGGAGCAGCAGCCAGCCCTGGGAACCTGTTAAAAATGCACCCCAACCTGTTAAATCTCCCACCCCAACCCAGACCTACTGAACCAGCAACTCCCCGGGCAGGGCTTGGCCACCTATGTCTTAACAAGCCCCCCAGGTGTCCTGACGCCCACTCAAGTCTGAGAACGTGGCTGTGGTGTAGACCAGTCATTAGAGGGGCAGTCTGTGCAAGAAAAGGCCCACAGCTCCTAAAGTGCAGACCGGCACCCCAAGAGCAGCCTTGCATCTGGAGAGCGGGGTGTGAATGCACATGCGGTTGCTTTCTGTAAGCCAGATGTTGAAGGCACATGTAGACCACGTTTTAGGGCCCCCACTTTGGCAGCCTTCCTCCAAGTGATCTGCCAGCCTCAGTCCTGTCAAGCCAGAGAAGATACGTGGTTTCTGCTGAGGTGACATTTACCAAGCCCTCAGCACACCTGGGTCCCAAGCGCCTCATGCACTTGTGCCATTTAATCCCCACAGGACCTCGTGAGGGGAGTACTCAGCTGTACCCCCACTTCTCAGATGGGGTGACTGAGGCACAGTGCCACTAAGTGATTTGCCCACTGTCTCACAGCTAGTGAGTGGCCTGGCACCCTGGGGGCCAGAGCTTGGGGGCCAGCCCTCGCCCCCAGCAGCCCTGGCCTCCCAGCCGCTGACCACCCATGCCCCCTGGCAGCTCCACCATGCCTGCAGCGGGCCCGGCCTGTCCGTCCTGTGCTTCGCGCGCCACGACCTCCTGGAGTACTTCAGCGTCTACGGCACGGCGCTCAGCATGTGGGTCTCTCTGATGGGTGAGTGGTCGCTCTCTGCAGCCCCGAGGGCCGGGTCCCCAGCCGTCCATGCACGCGTCCCCAAACCACCCTCAGCCCTGAGGACCTCTGCCCTCTCCCGGGTCTCAATCTATGAGAAGGATACGTGGTTCTTACCATATCCTTCTCAAGTGACTCATTGACTAAGTGCTCGTTTGGACAAATCTAAACAGCAGGGCATACGCAGGGAATGCAAGCGAGCCACTGCCCTCCTTCCCGGGGACAGCCCCCTCACGGTTCAGGGGTTTGGCCTCCCAGACCTCCGTCGAGGCTCAGGCAAACATTCACACGCACGGGTGATTTTCAGCTCGGCTTTTTATGAAGACAAGACTAGTGTCCTGCAAAGTTTTCTCATGGCAATGTCAGGACACATGGTCCCCAGTTCCATGAGGGCACCCTGCTGTCTGGCCCGGCCCCATGAAGGGCTCAGCCCTCTCGTAACTTGGCGTCCTCATCGTGGTGGGCCTGTGGGATAGATTGAATCCTACACACTTGTGCGTCGATCTGTCTGTTCAAATGTAATCCAAACTGCTCTGCCCACCCCGCCTCTCCTTTAGAACTGGCTGGAATTCAGATCTCTCTGTGACCAGGCTGGGCCTTGGGGTCTCGCTGGCTGAGGGGACATCACATGTGGGCACCCAAGGGAGGCCTCCTGGGGGGCAGCAACCGGTGGGGGCACCTGAGGCCACTCGCCTCTCCTGGTTTCTGTCCCCGGCACCTCCAGCACTGGCCGACTTTGATGAGCCCCAGAGGTCGACGCTTGTGATGTTCGGTGTCCTGACCATAGCCGTGCGGATCTACCAGGACCGCTGGGGCTACGGGGTGTACTCGGGCCCCATTGGCACAGCCGTCCTCGTCATCGCAGCTAAGTGGGTGCGTACCGTGCAAGCCTCGGCAGATGGGGGACGCTGGGAGGCCCGTGACCCCTCCCCTGACGCTGACCCTCCCCTCTTGGAGCCTTCATTTACCCCGTCCTGATGGGCAGGAGGCCAGACACAGGAATTCAGCTAAAACCCCTAGAAAACGGCCATGCAGACTGTTTGAGTCTTGTCTGTACTCACTGGCTCTGGACCAAACCCACGTTCCCTAACCTCAGCCTCTACTCCGTGCGTGTGAAGTGGGTGTTTCAGGAAAAGCCCAACGTCTGTCGTGCAGGGTTGCTTCAAAGGCTAACTGAGATAGTGCATGTAAAGTGTAGCCCAGAACCCGGCTTCCAGGTGCTGAACAGGGAGGCGCTGTTGACGATTATTGTCATTGTTATTGTTGGTGAAGAGAATGGCTGCTTTAGACACGTGACATCCACTTGGAACATGGCGTGGGTTAATCTGGGAAGACTGCCTGGAGGGAGTGAGGCTTGAGCTTGGCTCTAATGAGGGGGAAAGGTGTGGTGTGAGGTTGAACAGCCTGAGTCAGAATTCCTAACACGGCTGGCCCCTTCTGGGGCACCCAGGGGCCTGGTCCACAGTGCTCCCTGCACCCTCTGTCATACCAAGACCCTCTTGGCTGCAAGGACTGAACCCACTCAAACTAGCCCAAACTAAAGAGGGGCATTATGGCCAGACAGACCCAGGGGCATCTCCTGGCAACCCAGAGCAGGTGGGAGCTAAGCCTTGCAGGGACCAGAACGCAGACCTGGAAGGCCAATGGGCTTCAGACCAGGCCGGCTCCCTAGGGCTGCAGTGGCCCAGGGCCCAAGTTAACATCCCTCTGCCACACTTTACCCCCTATGGGCCACCACCTGGAATCTCGGGGTCCCAACTCCAAGGGCTAGGAGGAGACCTGGTCTGGTCCAGCCCAAACCACACTTCCACTCCAGGCCCATGAGCGGGGCTGATGGCAGAGCCACAGGCACAAACAGCCTGCAGAGGCACCCCCAGCAGGCCTGAGGGCAGGTCCCAGGGAAGGGGTTCAGCAGGACAGGCAGCACAGAAAGGGTCCCCAAACCATCGTACAGCTGCAGGGAGGGAAAACACAGCCACCGTGGCAAGCTTTCGGAACACGCCCCTCCACTCCACAGCCAGGGAGTACAGGATTGATTTTACCATTTGGTTAGTGAGGAAACGAAGGCACAGAAAGACCAGAAACTTTTCAAGAAGGCCCAGCAGGGCAGCGGCCAGGCCAGCGCTCCCAGTTTGGAGTAGGAGACAAGAGGACCCTCATTCTCACTCCAACTGGGGAGGCAAAGCTGACCCTGGGCTGAGCCGGGAGGCCCTCGAGGCTGCCCTGTGAGGGGAGAGGCCATGTGTCGGGGCCTGGCTTGTCCGGACCAGGGAGGGACCATGTGAGTTAGCAGGCTGGAATGCATAAACACCAGAGAGCCCTCCACCGATAACCCGCCGCGCTCCCTGTTCCGCCCCAGAGGGTTGCTGCCCCTGCTCATGTGGGCCAGGTCTGAATCGGGGCTGGATTTTAATTAGCCAGAACAGAATTCACTCGTCAGCGTCCCCACAAAGTGCCATGAAACAGCCAAGGCCCCTGGGCTGTGATCCGGCCACAGGACAGGAGATGAGCTGCTGGCCTCCCTGCATCTGGGGCTCAATTTGTGTTTTCTGGACCATTTAATGTGGAGTTTATTTTGGATTTTCAAGGGCCGTTGTTTCCTGGAATGCGGGTGGATTTTTCTCCCCAACCTCAGGCTTCTTGGGAGGGATTTAGGAGCCACAGCCCTCAGGGAGAGGAGGTGGAGAGAGTTGGGTGCTGGATGCCCACCGTGACCTTGGGTGCCTCCTCTCTGGGACCCCCAGAGCTACCGCTGCAGGACTGGCCAGACGAGGGCTGCCCAAGACTCAGTCACGGGCACCAAGTACAACCACAGGGTCGCTCTGTCTGGCCATTCCCACACATGACCTGCACTGCAGCGGGTCCTCAATTCCTCACTGGCAATGGCAAATTCCAGAAAACTGAAAACTGGGCATCCATTCATAATTCATTTGGTGGCAGGACCTTTGTGTACCCCACAAAGACCATCGATGTGTGCAGTTCTGGGTGCTGCCTCCACCCCCCCGGGGGCTTACACCTGCGTGTGCCACACTTCATCCCACTGGAATCCAAACTCCTGAGCTCCAAGGCACAGCTGGCCCGAGGGTCTGCACCTGCGGCCCGCGGGTCTGCCCGCGCTTCTCTGTTGTGCCGCTAACCTGTCTCTTTACGCTTAAACGGCCACTTGCGACCTGCTCTAAGCATCAGTATCTGAGAAATCACAGGTTTACTGTGCCGGCTAAGTCTGTCTAACAAATATAACTATAACTATTGATTATAACTATAAATACAGATTATAAGTAGCAAAGCCAGCGACGTTTGTGTGCCAACTAAAGCTGTCACACAATCACCACCCATGCCACCCTGTGGGCCGTGCTGGGCTGGCAGGTCCCAGGTGCACCAATGCCCTTTTGCTGTAAATAATCACCATGTCCGGCCCCTGGGGCTCCCCACCGGCGGGAAGATGGAAGCGTGCAAGGGCAGCCTCGTCACATCCCAAAGAGGCAGGAGGGGAGCAGGGGTCCCCGTGGGGCACATTGGCCCCTCTGGGTCCTGCAGAACCGGCTGTTGGCCCAGGCCATTGGGGCATCTCCCCATGCTGCGGCCCTGACTGAGGAGGGCTGGGCTGAGTGTGTGCAGGGTGGCTCTCGAGCCGTGCCCATCGCCGTGACCTGAGAGCCTGCCGTCGGTGCCCTGTCCCTGCAGCTGCAGAAGATGAAGGAGAAAAAGGGCCTGTACCCCGACAAGAGCGTCTACACCCAGCAGATAGGCCCCGGCCTCTGCTTCGGGGCACTGGCCCTGATGCTGCGCTTCTTCTTTGAGGTACTGAGTCCCACAGGGAGGCAGTCCCCCGCCCCAGAGCCCACTTCCCCATGGCCCCGATCAGCCTGGGTGACAGGGCTGCACCCACCCAGGGAGGCTCCAGCAGCCAGCACGCCTACGTCCTCCATGGCCTGTAGAGACCTGGGGGTCAGAGAGAGGGGCCCTGCCTTTGGAGAGCTTGCATCTGAAATGACGAGCCCAGCCTGGAAGGGGCCTGAGGCTGGCAGCTGGGGAGGAGGCAGGGAGGGCAGGAGGGATGGGGGACGGGAGGAGGGTGCCCCGGCCTTGCTGTTAGAGGCCTGAGTGGCACCGACCTTCAGTGCTGAAGGGGCCTGGTGGAGGAGAGGCCACCGTGGGCTGGATAGTGGGGGAGGCACAGGGCAAACGTCAGGGAGGGGCGAGGCCGCAGACTGACCCCACCGCTCCACGCAGGACTGGGATTACACCTATGTCCACAGCTTCTACCACTGCGCCCTGGCCCTGTCCTTTGTCCTGCTGCTGCCCAAGGTCAACAAGAAGGCCGGGAACACAGGGACACCGGCCAAGCTGGGCTGTTCCTCCCTCTGCTGTGCCTGCATCTGACATTGCCCCCAGCTCCGAGCCCACCCTCCCACGTCTCATGCCCAGCAAGAGGCAGTCTCCTCCTGGGGCTCCTCCTGTCCTCCCCACTGGGGTGTCCAGGAGAAGCGGCCCCCAGGGACGGGCGAGGCTCCGCTACACCGTGCTACGTGCTGCTGAGGAACCCACGTCTCCAGTCTTCACTGGGCACTGGGCACCGTGCAGGAAAGAAAAGAACTTTCTCCTCCTAGGCCTTGTCCCCACCAACAGAGCGTCTGGCGGAACCCTCGGACCAGCATCTGCCCTGCTCACCTCCCTTCCCGTTCCCACCCCCGGCCGGGGGCCCAGAAGTCCTAGCCCAGTGCCAGCTGCGACGGGAGGGCCGCCTGCCACCCTGGGCCTGTGCCCTCCCGCGTCATCTGTTTTCTCTAGGAAGCTGGTATCACCACCTCAGTCCTCTGCCCTCAGGCTCTGAATGCAGCCATTTAGGAAGCTGGACCCAGCGGGGCCGGGGGTCCTGCTCTGTCCTGGCCCAGGCGTGCCCTCGACCCCACCCCTGCAGCCGGGACCCTCAGTCAAGCCGCTTCAGTAACAATAACCCCTAAGAAAGACCTCAATATATTGACCTCACCATGTGCTGCTTTATGTGTGTCCTCGTCCTTACGAGTCCACGAGCAGCATGTTATCACTCCCACCCCACAGGCGGAGGCCTGAGGCCCAGGGCCAGCAGCTTGCTCCAGGCAGAGTGGGGTGCCTTGTGCTGGAGCACCCTGCCCACGGTTACCTGCTGTGGAGGTGGGTGCACTGACCTTGAGCAGAGGCCTCAGGCCCAGAAGCGGGGCTCCCTCGGCCAGGCCTCTCTGCACAGGGAGGGTCCTGTCTGCCACGGGCCCCGGGGGGTGGCGGCAGTGGCCTCCCAGACATCACCTCACACACCTGAACCTCCCAGCGCCTCAGCCCCACGACCGCCCCACTGACTCGAGGCCCATCTGTCAGGCAGGAAGTTACCTACACCTGTCTGGGGCCTGTTTGTGTTTCCAGACGGTGTCTTCTCTTTGGGAGCAGTTACCCAAGTCCACTTCCCACCAGGCGGGGTGGCAGTTATGTGTCCTAAAGTCACCTCCTGCAGCTGTCAGGGGGCCTGGAGAGAGCTGGCTCCAGCACCTGGGGCTAGGGACAAGGTGGCTGTGTTGGCCCCTCCCCACAACGACGGCTCTGGCTCCTTGGCCTGCCCCCGTCTGTTGACTCCTTGAGCGCCCAGAGTTCCCCCCATCTCAGGGCTCCCTGGCCTGCCCCTTCCTTGCCCTTCGTCCCTCCTGGCCTGGTGGACAGGCACAGGGGACACCCACAAGCCTCAGCCCTTTTCTGGCCCCACAGCCTTCCAATGACAGAGCAGCCACTGCTGGCACCTACTGGTGCCCTGTGCTCTTCACACCCAGTCCTCAGGGTCCTCTCCAAGCCCTGGGGGCAGGAAAGCATCATTGCTCCCATTTTTCAGATGAGGACACTGAGGGTCACCAGTCTGGGGCTCCAGGGCCACCTACCCAGAGAAGCAGTCATCTGTGCTGCATGTCCCCAAGGCAGGGCTGGGAACATGGAGACCCGACATGTGAGAGGGGCACGGCACTGTCTCAGTTGGCTTCCAGTCTTCCTGGGGAGATGCACGCACACACACACCCACACACGTCACACACCACGAAGGGACAGGTGTCCTGGAACCAGTGTCCTCCCCTCTGGTCCCTCTCTCCATCTCCCCAGGGGACTCTATCTGATAAGTCCAGCACCAGGCGCTGGGTAAGGGGCAGACTCTGGGGATCGCCCCGGTGGGGGGAAGCCTGGGATGCTTCCTCCAGAAGCAGGTATCTGCAAGGTGGCTGGCCTCGGCCCATCACCCCACTGCCTCTATCCCTGCTGGTCCCCTTCACCCCTGCCCAGTGCCTCCCAGCTCTGCGGTCACACATGGAAAATCAGAGGCAGCCGGACACTCCGGGCAGGGAGGAGACAGGGCCTGCCAGGTGCTGAGGGCCACACTCACGGGCTCTTCACGGCGGCGCTGATTTATGAAGGCCGTCTGGGAACCCAGCCAAGTCTTTAAGTCGCGGACGATTAGGAGGCGCGCTCCAGCCCTCAGCTCATCCGCCGCAGGCTCGGGCGCCCGGCCTCGCGGGCTCCGGGCCCAGCTCACCCCTCCCGAGCAGGGCCGGCCCCTGCAGCGACCCCCAGGGACCCCAAGGCTCTGTCCTGATCCCACTTTGCAGATGAGGGCACTGAGGGCTGGGATTTTGAGCCTCTCTGGACAGCGGCTGCTGAGTTGGGACAGTACCAGGCTCTTGCCAGTGTCAGCCCAGCAGTGCTTCTTCCAGGAGCCTCAAACACCGAGGTCTTTGAGCTGTAATCTGACATCTTGTGGGCTGTAATCAGGGGCTAGGAGGAGTGCCCCGGGATGGGTGCCACATTGCTCCCTTGACACCCAGAATGGCAACCCTACACTTCAGTACTAACGAGAAAGAACCGCCACAGCCTTTGGACACAAACACTCTGAATCCTGAATCCCAGAGTTGCCGAGGCCTGGGGGCTTCTCGTCCCTGCATCTGAGAATCATGGCACCTGGAGCCAGAGAGAGCCCCCAGGGTCATCCCAGCCTGCCTCAGGCTCTGGGCAGAACTCCGTCTCCCACCAAGCCCTGACGGACGGACGGCTCAGGAACCCTGAGTCCTGAGATTCCCTCCAGTGAGTGCTTGGCTTGGAAAAGTAGTTCTAGATGTGCCTAGACGTTCCAGAGTGGCACCATCCGAGAGAACTGGCGGTAGCGGTGGACATGCTCCAGCTGTCCAGTTTGGCAGCCACTACCCCAGTGGGTGGGACTGAGCATCTGAAATGTGGCTGGTGCAACCTCAGGACTGCATCTTTAAACTTTAGTTAATTTTAATTAATTTAAATTTAAATAGCCACACGGGGAGGGTTGCAGATAAAACACAAGATGCCCAGTTGCATTTGAATTTCAGATCCACGGTAGATGATGACGTAGCGTAAGCATGTCTCATGAAATATTGGAAACATACCTGCATGAGACATACGAACACAGGATTTGTCGGTTATCTGAAATTCAAATGTAACCTGGTGTCCCGTGTCTTACCAGGCAACCCTACCCACATGGCTAGCAGCTACTGTGTCGGACAGCACATCTACATGACACAGAAGGGATGGGGCAGCTCCGTGGGCACAGGGCTTTGGGACACCCTGGGTTAAACCAAGAGGCACCAGCAGGAGGTCTGCAGCACCCCGCTCTGGCTGTGGTCTCACTGTCAGGACATGGGTGTTGTCCTTCCCCCAGCTGGGTCATTTCTAAATTGGGGGGGCTGGGTGGGCACAGACCCCACAGTAGCCTCCCTGTCCCTGGGCATGGCTTCCAGGGAGTGGAAGCAGCCCACGCCCCACCCATCCGAGCACCCAGGGCCGGCCATGCCTCGTCCCCTGGCCCTGGCCCAACCACATGTGTGTCCCAGTCTGGGCACACACACCCCCTTCTGGCACGTGTGCTTGGAGCCCAGGTCAGGGGGAGGGTGCGGCATACTGCGGGCAGCGCACACGCCGAGAAGTATTATAAACATTTACACCAACGTAGACAAAACAGTCTATTGTAGCGGCCGCCTCCACCCTCCCCGCGAGCTGGGGCGAGGTTGGCATGGCAGGGGGAGCGCTGGGCCCCCGCCAGCTCGGCCTCTGTTTGCACATGGAGGTGTGTGTTCGTCTGAGGCCAGTCTGCACGCTGTGGCCTTTGTCGTGTCTGCTACTGACATTTCCTGTCTCTGTTATTCTCCTCTCCAGTAAGATGATCTGAAACCCAAAACTTTTATTGCCCCTTTTAAAAAGGCTTTACAGCTCCCCACCTACTACATGTACCGTCCGCTCTCCGGAGCTGGGATTGTCGTTAGGGAAGCGTGCTGGGCACCGCGAAAGGAATTCGCCCTGGTCTCGGCCGCAGGGTCTTGGCTGGGGAGGACCTGCAGGAAAGGGGAGGGGGCGAGGGAGCTTTCTGCAGCGTCGGCAGGAAGCCCGGGGTGGACGTCTCCTCTGCTGGTTGGCTGGTTGACAGGGCAAGCTGCTGAAAGTGGTCAGAGGCAGCAGAGAGCGTGTGCCACTCGGACCCAGCCACCGTCCTGGCCGACCCCTGATGACCTGGTGACCTGGGGCTGTCTCCTCCCGTCTCTGCACCCTGTGTCCTCACCTCTAAATGGGAACAGCAGCCACACCCCACCGGCCGCTCAGGCCCCTTTGGGTGGACTAAGTCAGAGGCCGGCCGCACTGGAAAGGAGCCAGGAGAGTGAGAGGCCGGAGGGAGAGGCGTCAGCAAGATGCGGGCCGGGGGGGCTGGGACACAGGCCTCGGAATCACGCGGGCCTGCCCTCCGGCTCTCCCTCTGTGACCTTGGGCAAGCGCCCCACGTCCTTGCAGCCTGGTTTCCTCACTTGCAGTAGTGCCTGGCTCACATGGATGTTGTTACGATTAAACAAGACAATTCAATACAAAGCACTTAGCACAGTGTTTTTAAAATGGCAATCATGATTATTTTCATTATTATTGGTCAAGGGCAAGAAAGGGGATCTCTAGAATTTAACAGCAGTATCCTTGCTATTATCTGGAAGTAAGCAAGGGAGGCTGCCTGGAAGAGGCAGGTTTGAGACTGAAACTAGAAAAGCAAAGCGGACTGAACTGTGGGAGGCTGTGGACGCCTGGCTCTTGGGCCACCCGGTGACGGCTTCACATTTCCACAGGGACTGGCTGTGCCCCTGTGCCCCCAACGTCCCCCCGAGCACCCCCGCTCCCGACGGAGTGAATGGTGCCTGCATCCACCAGGACAAGAGAAGCGGGTGTGGCCGGCGTGTGTCTGCCTGGTGCTCACGGCCACCTTGGCCACCGGAGGAGGAAGCTGGTGGCTGCACTGGGCTTTTGTCCTGCCCACCTGCTCTCGGCAGGGAGGGCTTGCTGTCACCTTAGCGTGTGGACGGGACTGAGGTGGAAGTGAGGCTAACTTTGTGTCCCGGCCTTGCAGCCCTTGTAAAGGGCTGGTGGGTGACCCTTCCCCTCCATGTCATCTCCTGTCCATGCCCTGTGTCATGCCACCAGCTCTGCCCTGGGATTTTCTGTCCCTCTCCGATGCCTGACCTGGACAGAAGAAAGCAGGGGCCTCCGTTTTGGGTTTCAGATCTTCACCTCCTTCCTGAGTGTTGTCACAAGCCAAGGAGCTTTCCCAACCCCAAGGAGTCCCGGGGAGCCAGCCAGACCCAGGCTCTGCCTTCTGACCATCACAGCCTGACGGGGGAGGCTGACACAGAACTGAGCCATCATGGGGCTGGGGGGTGAGGTGACGGTCAGGAAGGCTTCACGGAGGGTGTCCAGAGACCCGGAGGAGAAGGGAGGGGGTGAAGGATCTGCAGGGGCAGACGTGGCTGTGGAGAGCCATGGGTGGCGCAAAGTGCGGAGTGAGGGGGCCGGGTTCGAGAGTCTGAGGGCTTTAGGTGGGGGAGCCTCGTGGTAGGGTATGGCTGCCGTGAGGACAGGGCAGAGGTGGTAGGAGACCAGAGGGCCTGCTGC